GTGGGATGGCCACCATGTGCTGCTCGGGCTTGGGCATGGAAAGAAATGGGGTCGATGATGGGCCCATGCAAGAAAAATCTCTTTGCGGTGTAGAGCCTGGCCTAGCTTTGGGGGTGCAAGCTCGTCTGGTGCCAGACATCAGTTTGGCATCGGGTGGTGGTGCGAAAGGCTTCGTAATTTTATTTATTGTGACTTCCATATTTTCCTTTCTCTCAGAACAAGGTCCGGTCCTGGGTGGTGGTGAGGGAGTTTCCTCAGGAGCTCAGCCCCTGCCTCTGAGGGGTGCCATTGCACGCTGCAGCTTCCCCGTCACGGCCGGTAGCGTCTTAAATCCTAAATTGCCTCCCTAATCTTCCTTTGATACATGTGTTCCCAGTGCTGTTTTCTTTAACCTGATTCAGCTGCGGTGTGAGGTATGTCACTTAACAATATTTAACTTCTTTTGAGGCAAGAACACTAACATAGTTAAGGTGATAGTTAAGGGATAGTTAAGGTGACTTTCCTACATAAGTGAGCGTGAATTCTTCCATATAATGGGATGGGAATAGGTTTGAGGGCCCCATTGTTCAGTAGTTCTAAGGGAAATTTGGGATATCTTTCTGTGAGAGTTTAGTTTGAAATGCGCTTTTAGACAAACCACTTTGTTCTCAGATAACTGCTTACTTTTTTAAAGTGTAGACTGTCTATGTCTTTTCTAGTGTGTTCAACAGATCATTATACTAATGCCCAATGAAATAGTTCACAATTCTCACACAAGCTGCCAGGTATAAAGACTGCAAAAGCCATTCAGGACTTTTGTTCTAAAGTTTGAACAGGCCTCCTCTGAAAAATGTCAGCAGTTCTCTCATATTAAAGGTTATTAAGATTTGGACAACTTGATGGTTCCTTTTACAAAAAACCAGAATCTGACAACTATTTGCTAAATATCAATTATGTCTCTGAGGGTACCCATGAAATAATAAGAGGCATTCAGGCAGGCTAACAAAGCATCCATGGCCTGACTTTGGCATCAATAGAGAGGACTTGAGTGCGCAGTAGCTCACAGGAATGGGCAGTAATGCTATGTTGGCAGCCTGAAAATAACTGATTAAAAAAAATTTATTTTAATAAGTTTAAAAGTTTTCTGCTTTGAGGAAGAAATGTGCTCACATTTTAAAGCAGTTTAATATTAAAGTCCAAAACCTCAATTAAGGTGGTTTGCAACCCAACACTTTTCTTTCCTCCCATGGAAATGGCCTTTTATATATGAACTGCCTCATTAAATTCAGTTGGACTTCCTAGATAGGAGAAGGAGGGTAAATATTTTTCAGAGGCTGGTGCTAACGGAGTCATTTAATGCTGAATAAATAATAAAAATTACAGACCTTTTTTGGGGAAGCATAGGTGGAGTCGTTATAGTAAAATTCATAATTTACATTGCCAAATACAAACAATAAAGAATCGTCTACTTCATATGGTTTGAAATGACCTTTATTGAAAACAGATGCTATTTAGGTGAAAACATTTGCGTTAAAAAATAACTTGTTATTCTCACTATGAATAGTTTTAAGTGATTTGTTTAGATTTTTTTAAAAATCTAAATTAGTTTTCTGAAGTTACAGATAAAGAATGGCTTATTCTAGTTCAACACGGGACTTTATTGCACTTTCAGATCTGCATCCAAATCTTGCTCGTCCTGTAAGTCTCAGACATAGTACTTTTGTTCTCAAATGAAATTGTATATGACTGTATTATATTACGGAAAAATTATGTAATTGATGTGTATTTAGATACTAATAGCATTAGTATAATTGTTAGATATAAAGTACCTTACCTTCTTTGTGTATAAATGAGCAAAATGAAAATTGATGCTGCTGTTGTCCACAGTATGTGGATACCACAACTATAGATATTGACTGGACAATTCAATGTCTGAAAGTATCAGAGGTTTCTTTGTCATGTTTTAAATGGATGCTGAATTAGTAAAGACATGTACAGAGTCAGCATTATGTAGTCACAATACATCTGTAACCTACAATAGGCTTTCGCTACAAGCTATGAACGTAAGGCCCAGTCCTGCAGTCTTTCCTTGTGTGCTCAGTCCCCCTGAGCTAAATAACACAGTCCTGCAGTATTCAAACAAAACTCTCGTTGAATGGTATGGTGTTTTAACTGGATAAAAATCGCACAGTTACATGTCAGATAGGATCATTTCTGTTTCTTTAGAACAAAAAGCAGGTTTTGTGGTTTTGTCATTTTATAAAGAGATAAGAATTTTGCTTGTGGGAGTACAGGAGAGTAGGATGAACCAAAAAGGAAACTTAACAAACAGCAAAGTTTTGCAGTTGGCAGATTCATACAGATGTTTGAGTACAATTTTTTTTTTTTTTTTTTTTTTTTTTTTTTTCGGTTGTCCTGATACGAGTGAGGACTATCGTCACTGGAGTGAGAGCTGAACAGGGGAGGGTGCTGTAAAACTCAGTATTTTTCTCTTTTGGGTTTTAGATACTTGAATAAAAAATAGGAAGTCTGGGGAGCGCAGGTTTTCATTCTTTGCTCTCCAAGATGATGTTTTATTATGGGAGGAAGTAGGCTACGTTATTCTCTGTTGCAGTATTTATGTGTCTTCTGAGTGTTTGGTGCTGCTGGGAGTTGGAGCCTGGAGAACAAAACGGAGGCAGCATTTCCCCACGGATGCACCGCGAGCTGTGGTGCGGTGTTACAACCCTACCGCCCTGTGCAGCTTAACGTAGATGTCTACAGAGCTGTATGCCCTGTGGAAGTCCTGATGCTTGTGAAGAGAGTGAAAACAAGGAGTTTTCCTCTTCTCACAGCTTTTTATTTGGGAGGGGCAAAATTTAGCCCTTTTTTCTCACTTATTTTAAACAAAGGAAAGAGAAATCATAGAGAAGGGATAAACTAGGAGAAGGAGTTTCATATGCCCTCACAGCGCTATTGTATATTCTTTCCAACTTTTTATAAACTCCTAGTCTCCAGCAAAACTAACTTAATCTGTCATTCACAGTTACTCTCAAATGGAGTGATCTACCAACTCAGTTAAAAGCTTTTATTGTACAATAAAACTAACCGTGAGCATTGCAATTAGCCACATATAGTAAAGAAAGTATATTTATAAAAAAGTAATTCACTAGTATCTCCTGATAGAATGATCAGTATGTGTTTAGGATGTTAAAACAGCTGAGCACACATCATTCAAAGTATCAAAATGTCATGTATTTACTTTGCAGTTTATTTTTTAAAAGTGAAACAGATCAAAGTCTAAGAAATTTGCAGTATATTAATGCTGTAGTCTCATGATTTGGTTGAGCGGCCTTAAGCAATGCTCTGCCAAAAACACAGTATGGCTCGCTTCCTCCTTGCAAGCATGTTCCGCTCCTCCTCTTTTTGGTGAAACTAGTGCTTGTGGAGTTGCACAATAAGCTGATCAAGGAAATGATCTCTGGAAGTTTTTCTACCCTCTTTCTCCCCACACCCCCCAAAATAGTTTCTAGCCAGATCACTTCCTTCTGCCGGCTTGCTGTGCAGGCTCAGTGCTAATACCGGAGAGAGAGGGGAATATATTTGCAGCAGGGACAGGGAAGACCTCTTTTGGAAACTGTAGGCTTACATCAGCTTAATTCATGTGAAGAGTCATCCTAAATGTCGGTTCTTTTGCCTGGTGGTGAGATACAGGGTATGTTGCACTCTGATTTAATTGAATTTTTTGTTGTTGGGGTTTTTTTGGTGTTTGTTTGTTGGGTTTTTTTAAGAAACAAAACCGAAAATAGAAAAATAAAATCCTAATCTAAATCAGTACAGGTTGCAGGCAGACAGAAAGTATTCTATTAGACTGGAAGAACTAGGATATTACACTGTTGTACACATACATCCTCTTAATGAGTTCATTTCCATCACTGTAGGATGAGACAGTTAACTTGCTCCATCTAGTGATTCAAGTAAACTGGGAACATGAGATCCCAAACTAGCACTGCCATACTCTTCTCTCACACTGAGGAGGACCTTGTTTGTATAAAAAACCACAGCTATATATTATTAACACGTATATTTTATATCTATATCTGCCTTCCTGTGTGTGTTTGCTTCTAGTAGTTTTGTTTGACAGTTGAGACTGGGGTGCTTTTGCATAATAAACACAGGCTTAGCAAAGCAGAGTAAGATTGATTTTGGTTTGAATCATCAAAAAAGTTCATTGCCTGAGCTCCCGTTGTAGTCGGTTGAGAGACAGGCAGCAAGAAAGAGGCACCTGTAGAAATTTATGTTGCTTAGATGAGGATAGGATAAATGGCCCTCCCTGTGGATGTACACGTGTGTGTCTCAGTGCTGACAGCAGGGGAAACCTTGGGTGCTTAACTATAAAATAAATCCTGTCCAGACTTTTCATGGTGCATTTAAGGAGATCTGAGACCTGTGCAGAGAGCATGAAACAACAATATTGCTGCCTACCTGAGGAGAGATTGCTGTAGAGCAGCCAAAACTGTGAATGTTTGGAGTGAACTTTTGTCCTCCCATTGTCTTTATAAACAGAAACAGATGTATTTCTTTTAATATTTTTATTAGTCACTCTCTTTCTTAAAGTAAAATTGTATGTTTATGTTTTAGTCTTTAGTTCATATGGTACTGTGGAATAAATAGATTAAAATGATTACCAGTCAGAAATATGTTTGTTATCATCGGTAGAGTACAAGTCCATGAAATCTAATTCATCATATACATCTGTGTTTAATACTTGTATTCTATAATCTTTTTATTTTTTAGAATGTAATCGGTGTGGTTATTGGGAAAACAGATGTCAGAGGCTTTCCAGACAGAAAAAGTACAGTCCCTTTTAACTGTTTTTACTTCATTTTCTTATACGGTATAATTTGGCGTATATGACTGAAATCAATACTTAAATGATAAACAGACTTCTTAGTGTAAAATGTATAGAATAAAAATGCACAAAAAAAATTTGTGTGTGTTTGAGGACCAAGATGAAAGCAGCATTAGTTTGGCTAAAACTTACCAATTAGAGTTTGTTTGGAAAAACTCGGTCATGGAAGTGTTTCAGGGTCTGAAGAAGATGGTGCCCACTATTCTGATGGTAGCCACTATTCATCTTCTGGAGAAGATGAACCCACTATTACAAATACGCTGCTGGAATTCATCTGGTCCCTTCATATTCATTTTCTCAAAACAGAAATGTTAAGGGAGATGTCTTGAGGAGTGGAACAAGTCATTTCTGGTCTGAGTAGCACCAGCTTCATCTTATCGTATACTCCTAAAGAAAAAATGGGAATAATACGTTGTTAATACAGCATTAGTTGGAAATGGAAATAACCTATCTACAGCTTAGGGTGGATACAGATGCTGTTAGGAAGCATCTCCAGTCCTAGAGAGCCATTCCAGCTCTGTGTGAAGTGCTCAGCTATTCTGTTGGCATTCTCATCATGCCGAGCAGCTCTCATTATGAATTTTTAGAAGGAAGTATCATTGTCACCACAAACAATTCTACATAGTATGGAAATGTGATGTTCATTGGAACTACTGTCAGATTATGCTTCCCCTTCACAGATCACTATACAGTTTTCATTAATAATTTAAAAATAACTTGTTGCATAATGCTGTACGATCCGTGGAAAGCTTTGTTAATTAGCTGTAAGAGAAAAAGGAATGGCAGTGTTTCAGAGACTGATACCCTCTTGACCATGAACTTTCCATAGAGCTGGAAACACTTTGCTTTATTCAGTTAAACCCCTTGGTGCTATCTGGACAGTGACACTGCCTGTGACCTGCAGCCTTGTGTGTCATCGCCGTGGTCTCATACATGGGCACAGCCACCTAAAGACAGCCTACCTGCTACAAAATTGGGGCTAGCATGTACACTTGTTCATAGCGTTGCTTCATGCGTTAGCCCTGTTTATGAGTTTGTCCGTGCCTGGAATGTAGCATCATACAGTTCTTTTATTTCTCTTGCGTTAGATCTGTAAATTTACATGGTGCTGCCTGAAGTGAAGTGATGCATGTCCGTGGCTGGGGCGGCTCAGGTACCCCTGCGGCAGGAGCTGGAGCCCTCCCCACTCACGAACCCCAGTGTGTTTACCGATCGCTCTGCTGACCTCTCGTGGTACCCGCCAGATTGCGGGTAGTAAATTCATCGCAAAAATTAGGAAAGCCTCGAAATAATAAGTTTGTATACATATATTCTAGACTGAAATCAAGCTGTGCTAATGAATTGTAATAGTGCTGTTTATTTTTGCAGACATTGGGTCTGAAAGATACACCTTCAGTTTTACTATTCGTGATTCACCAACTTATTTTATAAATGTAAATTCTTGGGGCAGAGAAGAGTATATTAGATCACTTTCAGAAAGCTTTAGAGTTGGTGACTGTGGTAAGTTGGAGTTTATTCTTAACATGTTTCTGTTTGAATATGGGTTTTTTCCCAGTAAATCAGTGTTGTGTGTTTGTGGTTTTGCTATATTTTTCTCTGAGGACTCAGAAAACAGTCTAATTGGAAACAAATTGCTCAGTTATGTTAAGTATAAAGAGGAAAGGAGTAATATTTCAAGGATTTAAATTCAAAACCAGCAAATATGTTAACAAAAAGAGCAGATACAAACCATGCAGCCACCCAGAACTTACCTATAGCGAATCGATCTAAATTCTTACATTATATTCAGTTCCTACAAATTATGAAAATAAACGCTGTAAAGTAGTTTGGTTTTCTTTGTCTAGTTATAGATATGACTATGATTGTTCATATAAAAGCAACAAAAATCTTGTATTTATTTATAGTAGGTGCTTTTATGTTTTTAAGTTAATAGAAAGACTTTGCTGCCCATGGTTGCTAGACCAGAGTGTTTGGATAAAACTTGTGACTATGAAGAGCATACACACAAGAACTGTGTCATTTTGTTTCCATTAAATGTCTCGAGGACTCCTGTGGGACTTTGACTATAATGTGAGCTGTCTGGACAGACACAGTTTCCAGTATGAAAACATTTAGCTATAGTTACTGCACATACCTTTTCCTTTCCATATGAACCTTGAAAAAAAAAAAAAACATTTTTAAAAGCCATCTCTATATGTATCTATATGCCATTTTCTAACATTACTTATCAATGTTTTGTTTTAGTTACAATTGAAAATCCTTTAGTTCAGTCAAAGGAAGGAGAAAGGGAAGAAAAATTCAACCCTGTAACTCCTAGGTAAAGTTAAAGCATAGATTGGTAGTTCTTTCCGGAAAGATCAAAGTTAATGCTTGCTTTAGTTGCCAGCCAATTGCAGCAGCGTGCAATTGGTAGAAGTATTTGCGGTTACTCTTCTTAGGTGGCTGTACCTTCCTCCCTGTGTTCAACCATGTCTGGTCAAATAATCTCAAAAGAGAACACATTTCTCAGTATATGGTCTCTGGAGTCTTGTCATAAAGTAATAACGCTCTTTGTAACTAAACAGAGTAAACTTCATTCTTTGAGTAAAGTCTATTGAAATTATTTGAAATGGATTTGATTTTGCCAAAGTGTTTTATCAGACTTAACTGTTTTATAGACAGTATATCCTTATCAAAATCTGTTCACACGACATGTTTATCTAGAAGGTGTTTTAATACACTGTGATGCTATTTGTTACTTGTTTGGTAAGGCGTTCTCATTCCTTTTACATCATGCAATGTATATATGTTGTCTTTCAGTGTATTCTCTAAAATCCAAACAATTTGAACCCGTATATGAAACTAACTAACATTGCAAGTCGTAATTTAGATATGTTTTAACTTATCTTAGATATCTAAGATGTAGATGTTAGATAGACTAATACACCTGTTCTTTAATTAGGGTTTCTTTCCTAATTGGTCATATTCTAATATTTTTAATCATATGGCAGTCACAAAAATATTGCATGTATGCACATTAAATTGGCAAGTTAGAAGTTTTATGTTCTTGCTTACTGATTATCTCAAGTGTTGTAGCAATGTATAGCTGTAGTAGTTATACCCACTTTCTGACTAAACAGAAAGAAATAAAAGAACAAACTTCAGGTAGAAACTTCACTGAGGAAAAGAACTCCTCTCTAAATCTATAGATTTCATAAGTGTTTGTAAAATATATTTATCCAGAATATATTGAATATATCTCATTTCCACTGGCTTTATAAACATTCCACAGTGCATTATCAATATTACTGAGGTCATTGGGCTATTACTTTTGAAAGCACCTTACCAAATCCAGTCTGACTATAGTAGTGTCTTCTTATGTCATGATGCCAAAACCTCTCGATTACCTGGATTACAGACATTTCAGAATTTAATTTATTTTATTTTTAGTGATTAATAAGGCCTGAAAGACTTATAAATATGTATTGTACATTGCTAGCAATTCATGCTGACTTTTCAACTCTAAATAAGTATAAAGTACACAATAACAAGTCTTTCATAAGAGAAAAGTATATATATTTTAAAAAATAATTTTAGAACAAATTAATTCCAACTTTTCTGTGTCTTTAGGGACAACAGTCAAGGAATAAATCAGCAGTTATTTTCTCATGTGACTTGAATTAACATTTTACACTGTTAATAAATTGGTGAGTGAAATGTTGATTGATGCGATTTGTTTTGTGCGTACTATCTAGTTGCTACAAATTACTGCTCAGCGAAAATCATTCAGTGGTCAAAACGTCTTCGTGTTATGAAATGGACACCAAACTACTTTCTCTGTTGCATCTGCCTGTCAAGGACCCTCAGGATTATTATTCACTGGGTGATATCATTGCAAATGGACAAAGCCTCGATGGAAGAATCCTTAATGTGCTAGCAGCTGTAATGTCAGTAAGTGAAGGAACCACCAGAGAGTAGTGTTTTTCTAGTGTACCATGGGTAACTTAATTGATGTAAGTGTGAATATGGATTTTGGGACTCATAGTGGACAGGAATCAGTGGTTTTGTCTCTTTTAGGTTAGCAGTCACTTCAGATGAGTTGCAATAACCACACAAGCTACGTGATGAGATTGTTATCAACAACATGAGGGGGGAAATAAAGGGAATGGAAATGTCCTATATCCATTATCTTTTTGAAATCATGGATGTGTAAGCAGCAGATAACTTGAAATTTGTAAACCACAGATTTTTATAAAATAAAATGTGTCCCTTTATCTTAAAGTAAAATTACTGTTGTTAAACTTTTAGTGGTGTACATGGTTTGTTTTGGTTTTTTTAGTGGTCTACAGGATTATTTTTTTCCCTTTTTTAAACTCTTCTGTTTTCCAGGTTATCACTTTTATTCTCCTAACACTTAGTAGAGGAAAAGTGACTGCTTCTCTCTCTTCTTAAAGGTTGGTGAGCCAAAGTATTTTATGACTTCAGACAAAAGAAAAGGTCAGAGGTGTGAAGTAAAGCTGTATGATGAAACAGAGATGTCTTTTCCAATAGTATGGTAAAACGTTTTTTAATTCACTAAAAACCACAAATTAATGCAAGAGTAGACAAAGAAATTAACTGTTATAACACTTTTCATTTAAATGTATTGTTATTTGGGTGACAACTGTGGTGAGACAGCAATGTACGCTGAACAGAGGCTTAAAAAAGAGATTCATTAGAGTGACTTCATATATATTGTCTAGTTTTATGACTTGCTGACAGACTGCCAGCTCATGAATGGCAAAATGAAGCTTAGTTCCAAATAGCTACATTTTTTTTAATGTGGAAATTTGAACTAATTCAGGAAATGGCATTTAAAAACAGCTGCAAAGGCAGTACATTTCTTCCACAAATGAGGGGTGGAAAAAAGAGGAGTATGCTTTGTTTTTAAAGCCAAGCAGAAATAACAAGTGGAATGGAAATAGGTCAAAATAGTTTTTAAATGTTTAAAATAGCGCAGAAACATTTTGATACTACTTTGGCCGTACTTTCAAACTGTATCCCATTTACAAACATGACTACGTCCATATCATTTATGCATGTAAATGGTATGATTGTTTACACAGGAACATCTGCATTTTGCCCATAGTTTGTTCAATAAACTTGTGCCTTATCTTTGTGCAAGGGTATGTGGGTATTGGTTTGCACTGGGTTTGCTGCTGGTTGGTTGAAATGACCTTTGTTCCCTAGACAGAAGTAGCAAGATAGCACTGCAGTCTGTGTCCTAGCTAGAAACTGCACTATCATTCAGTGTAATGTTTAACACAGTTAATGTATACACACGAACACTAATAAACGGCTGTGGCACCAAGTTTTCTAGCCCTTGAGCTGCCACCACTGTTGACTTGCAGCAGTGTTTCAGCGCAGGTATATAGTGATAGAGAGCTGAGTACTTGAGGAGTCCTCAGAAGCAGAGACTAGGTGGTGTTACTGTGGTTATCCTCAGCTCTGCCTTTTGCGCTTTCATGGAGCCATAGGTAGAGGCAAAGATTCAGGAAATCCTTGAGCAACAGCCTTGTAGTGAAGATACTTCAGAGGCCATCAGTGAAGAGGTGGCTGAACAATGCTAGATGAAAAGTAAATATCTTAAATTGGCAGTACTCTTGCCATCCAAACTTACAAGGAACCGAATCAGATTTTTATCAAGGGACCTAACCATCAAATTACAATTTTGAGGGATACCACTGACTTTGCTCTAGTCTCATCATCCACAGTTACAAGGATTTCAGTGCTGGAAAGCTGGCTGAACATCTGGGCTAGTGATGTGAGCAATCAATTTGTTCCAACAGAAAAAGTCTAGCTGATAAGCAGTTATTTTAACTGTGATTTGCTTTAGTTAGAAATTACTTGTGTCAAAGCTCTGAAATACACACAGTATTTTTCCAGGTGTATTCTGCATTTAATCATTTTGGACAATCTAATAGCCTGTTATTTTATCCTGTTTGGCATGGGATAAAATAGGGACTGTATTAGACCATACATAAAGCATCCTGGCTGGCTGCAAACTAGATGCCTGTGGATATACGCAGCATTTGATTTGCATGTGCACGTAACAACGGATTTGTGTCCCCTTTGACTAATTTAATGATAACTATATTATTTAGTAGTTTTGTACTAAATAGTTTGAGTGCTGTTTCAAAAATGTTTTGATACATTAACTTTTTTTAATTTAGTTGGGATAATGAATCTATCCAGCTTGCACAGAGTTGGATCCCACGAGAAACAGGTATAATAATCTGGTTTTAATGTTTTTACTGTAGTTCTTAGTGTGATACTTACTCTGCAGTAACAAGTTGTGGGTTTTTTTGTGCACAGTAATATTTGCATCAGATGTGAGAATAAATTTTGACAAATTTAGGAACTGTATGACTGCAACTGTGATATCAAAAACCATCATTACAACTAATCCAGGTAAGAGCTGTTGAAGTATTGCTTTGAGATTGGTAATCATTATAGGCTAGAATGCATGAATGAACTTATTGAAGGTCTGATTTCTTCTGCCTGCTTGCATCAGAAACCTCCCTGCTTCTTGTCTGTTACATAGTGACCAATGCTTTTGGCTTCCACCCTTTTCTCTCTCTTTTTTTTTTTTTTTTTAATTTTATCTAAGCAGCCTTCATATATTCCATGTAGGACTGACAGTTAAAAGTTAAAAAGAGAATAGCATCTGTTGGCTAATTCCAAGAGACGACGTGTTGGTACTACCAGAATAAAAAGTTGTAAAATATAATTAAGCTGTTATTTTTACATGCTACATATATTAATATCACTTTTAAAAATACATTTTCAAGAAACAGCAGAAGCAAATGTTCTCTTCAGCTTCATAAAAGAGAGTGCGCAATCAGGAGCTTTGCGTGACAAAATGGAGGAGCAGTCAAAAGAATCCATTAACTGTAAGCATGGTTGCAAACACTTTGATTTTTTTTCACTAAATAGTGTAGTTTCATAGTGCAGCTGAAATACCAGGTTCTTGCTCTGTGTGTTCATAGAAACAAAACTAAGGTATAGCCTGGCTGAATATTTAAAGTTTGGACTGTTGTTACTGGGGCTGTCCCTTATATTATCAGTTATGGATCTGCAGGGTTGGTGATTATGCCAGTTGCAGCCTGTCGGGCATGCTCTTTCTGTCTTGAATAAGTACAAGAAATGGAGAGGGAAAGTTTTTATCAAAAACTCATTTTGGGGGATACAAAGATTGAACATTAGATATTTTCCTCGTTTGAGTCCCGTTTTTCGTGTGTTTTTTTTTTTTTTCTTTTTTTTTTTTTGTGGGGGTGGGGGTGGTGTTTCTCCCCAAATGATAACCCCAAATGATATACCTTAGATCAAATCCTCTCCTCTTTATTACGTTAAGATCCTTTTCTGTTGTTGCTCTTCTGCACAGTTTCTTTCTCAGATACACTTAATATGTCTTTTACACTTTTAGTGGAGACTATAGTTGATGTTTATACTGTGGAACAGCTGAAAGAGAAAGCCTTACAGAATGATGGGAAACTTGAACCCATCTATGGCATTATTTATGGCTACATTTCTACACTGGACATTGATGATAATGCATCTAAAATTATGCGCAACAGATGGTAAGCAACTGCCTGTTTCAAACTTGTATTAAAAACTGCTTGTCCTTCTTCCCATGACCCAAACTAGATAGAGCAATATTTTTGTCCAGTTCTGGACAAGAAATAAAACTCCTCTTGTGGATGCCATGTGGATTTCTGTTGTGTCAACTTCCAGAAGTAGCAAGGAAGAGGAGCTGGCTTTATGAAGGACTTATTCTTTCTGGTCATAGAGGAGCAAAGAAGAAAGAGGCCATTTTGTCTCAGACAGACTTAAGAGTTTAGAAGACGAAGAATTTTTTTAAAGACGAAAAGTCTCTTCGGAAATCTCAGTCTAGAAAACAGTTTCAAACAAGGAAGAATTGCATATATGCATTAATTATCTTCTTATGTTTCAGTTCAATATGCCGTTTTATAGTGAATGAAATGTCAAACACATGCACTTTCTGCAGTGATGTCTCTTCGGATTCAAAGTCAACTTTTGCAAGCTTTGACATACTCATTGATCTGACAGATCACACGGGCACTCTTTATTCTTGTTACCTGTCTGACTGTGTAGCTGAGGAAACGCTAGGCTGCACAGTAAGTAGAAATGAATTAGGTTGTTCTTATTGCGTATGAGCTGCGAAGCCTGATGAAAATTACAAATACACGTAAATGTTCTTTGTGTGTGTGTGTCTGTATACGGGTTGAAAAAATTGCATGTACATATGGATATACACACACACACAGCTTTGCAACAAATCAAAAGTTAGACGTCAGTAGCTGCTAATAAGAAGAAATGTGTTAAATGTAAGAACGAATACCCTGTTCAGAATACCACTGTATTTTAATTACTTCACACTTTTCTGAGAGCATGGTGAATTCCCTAACTTCGATTCTCAAACACCCTGCAATTTATTCTGATTAATCTGACTGTCTTGGTACATATATCTCATCGAACACTATGTTAAAATAGAAAAATACAGCTTAGAAATGTATAAATATGTGCAAGATGCTCTTTTTATCATAATTTTGTTGTGGAGATGTTGTTCTAACTATATGCTGAAGAAGTGTTCTGTTATGTCCTTTTATTCACAGGTCCATGAATTCCTCACCCTAGCAGAAGACAAGAAGACTGCATTGAAATGGCAACTTCTTTTGGAACGAAGCAAGATTTATTTTAAAGTTAGTATTTCATGTTAATTTAAAAGCGTGGCTGTTTCTCATTCAGTAGTACATTTAGTACCTAAAAACTCCATGTCAATTCTGCTGAACTTTTAAAAATAAGGACTAGTTTTTGTACGTATTCTGAATATTCCAAGTAAATAGTCTTTATAATCATTTCAACATTAGGGGATGTCCCTGCAGGATCAGATATATGCAGGCCTCTTTCACGCAAACTACGAAAGGCACAAACTGTCCTTAGCCAATACTGATTAAGGAGCTGATATTTCAAAAGCACGTATACATGATTTACTCAGTCACTGACTTCTATAGCTGTAGGTTTATAACGAATAAAGTTAACAGTATCTGTTTGCAAGAATAAGGCACAGTCAATATATGTAATAGATTGTATGGTATATGGGGTTACCTAAGTGTATTTCTCAGTTACCTGTATTTTTTGAAATAATGTGATTAGATATGTCTAAAATCTGCACTTCTCCTTAAAGAAATAACAATATTAGATTCACACACCTGGAGCAATTGTTAAAAGATCTGCTGCTACTTGCAATATCCTTTACTTTATTAATTGCATGCTATATACTGGACTGGATTCCTTTTTCATGGAATTGCCTGCTCTAGGACAACTCTAAACTGACTCTCTTTTTTAAATTTGCTCTTATTAGCAAAACTGTTCTTATTCTCCCATCTCCTCCACACTCTGCCCCTATTTCCAGGAAAAAATGAAAGTGTTTTACTTCAGTAGTGACAGTTATATAGCATAAAGTGTGTGTACTCATACATGAAATAATGTAAAATATGTATAACCAAATCTGTCAATTAAACATGCTGTGTGATATTTGAAAATAATATATTTCAAAGTGCTATACAGCAGTAAAAACAAAGGCCTTTAATTCTTTTTACAGGTTACTTTGTCACCCAGTTCGAGAACTGGACTGAAAGTGAATGTTCTTTCATGCAAACTGGCAGACCCTATAGAGGCGAGTCAGAGCTTGTTGGGAAACCAGACTGGAAATAAGAGATTACACTATTAATAACAGCTAGGAAAAAGACCTTCTTCACTGTATTATTAGAGGCAGAATGCTGTTGTCGTCATATTTTGCCAAGTATGTTCTGATGGTAAAGAAGGAATCTGCATTACTAATACCTGCAAGTGGGCTTCTGTGTTGATCTTTTTCAGGTGATTGTACTTTAAAAAGTGTACTAAGGCCTCATCTTAAGAAAAGTTAGTTCTACTGAATTAAACACCTTACAAGGGGGGTGGAAGCTTTCTTCATTCAGTTTAGAGTATCTTTGAAAAAATCAGAAATAACAAATAGTACAAGACAGATCTGTTGAGCTTCTGTGTTTTTAGCTGCCTTCCTACTTCTGTGCTACTTTTGTCTTGGTTCAAAAAATAAAGACCCACTTTGAAATACTGCCTGGTTTTGTGGTGCATGTTGGTGAGCCCAAACACAGAACTTTTGGCAACTGCAGAGGCTTGGAAACAGCCATGATGTTTGCAAGGCTGCTTTTCTTTAGGGCAGACTAAGCCTTACTAGAACGGAGTAATCAATTACCAGGGACCTCCAATAACCAAACCATCAAGCTAAGAGTATAAGCGGCAGAGAAGAAAGGACTCTTCTTCACCAAGTTAGTTATTCTTAGCTGAACATAAAGAATGCAGGTATGCGTATTTTGCCTTTCTCCATATATTTTTTCCTATTTGTTAATCTACTTCTGTCCTTAGCTTCCCCTGCAGCTGGTGTACTTGCCACATTCACCAGTCCTCACCTTCAGGGCATATCGAGAGTTGGCCTATTTCAAACAGTGGGAAGATATTGCGGCCTTTCTCTTGCAAAGTATTTGTTAGGCTAGAAAACCCTGAGGAACTCAGACCAGCCCTGGTGCACTACCTTACCCGTTAAAGCAACATGGCACAGAAAAAACAGCTACAGAAACAGTAAATTTTGACAAGCAATCCACCAAGATTGCATCCCCTGATGCATATGGGTGGGAACAAGGGACTAAATGCACAAAAAAATGTTGCCAGTGTTGGGTCGCTGCATCTCTCCTGTTGCAGCAATAAACAACTTCAACATTTTCCAGCCATAACAGCTAGTATTCTGAAGTGAATGTTTCCAATTATTTTAATCACAACTAGGCTCCGCTATCAATACACAGTGCTGAGGACCAAACTACAAATGATGCACCGTGGCTGTTGCCAGAGATGCTAATGTTTGACAGGTACAAAGAAATGGAAACAGTACAGAAAGCGAATTTAATCCTTCCTCTTTCAGAATTATTCACCCTAACTTCCCTGCTCAGCCCAGCTCTGTTGGCCTGACTTCTCTGCTTGGCCCGGCTCACAGAGTTGCAACAAATTCAGAGCACAACTTCCCTGCTGACAGAGGCAGGCTTAAATCAAGGAGCCTTTTGACTTCTATGAGCCAGGGGCTGGTTCTGTTCAGATGCAACGGCTGAATGTTTGTTTCAGTTGGCCTCAGTTCCTGAGGCTTATGTGCTGGTTTTGGCTGGGATAGAGTTAATTTTCCTCATAGTAGCTGGTACGGGGCTATGTTTCGGATTTGTGCTGAAAACAGTGTTGATAACACTCCTCCATCCCACCACAGGGGAGCGAGTGAGCAGCTGTGTGGTGCTCAGCTGCCGGCTGGGGTTAAACCACAACAGTCCTTTTTGGTGCTCAACGTGGGGCTTGCGGGGTTTGAGAAGACGACAGATTTGACTGGAATGTGCTAGATGGAATTTATAGCTGTTATTGCTGTTTAGCTATTAATTGTCAGGCTCCTGTGCTTGCCACGGGGCTTGCTTGCCTTACTGAATATTAGTGTCTTGTGCTCGTTAGTGGCCGCTTCTTGCTTTCGTTGCTTGCTGTACTGCTGATCATCCTTAGATGAAATCTGAATTACGTGCACAGCGTTTAGGCCTCATTGTACAAAGATCTTTTACGTGTGCTTTAAGCCATTGGCTTAAGTCAAAATACAGTGATCTGAAATGTCTGTGTTTGCAGGACTGGTACCCGGTGCAGGTGGTGCACTGGTACGCAGTGGCGTGCTACAGATGCGTGCAGCTGGAGAAACGAGTTGATAGGAAAATGTCTATTTTTCTTCTGCAATGTGTTCTGCTTTCTTTTTACCATGTCATTTGCGGTATCCTGGACCATGCTGCTCTTCCACAGAGGTGCTTGTCTTTGGGCTACAGTAATTTTCTCTGTAAGACTCTCCAAATACACTTTTAAAAACAACTTTTCCTAGCAGTTATTAAGATCTGGCTTCAATAAATGGAAGCATTTAACTTTGGTGCTTGCACATACGTAAAAAAATAATCCATCTGTTTTTGTTAGAAATTAGTCAGCTCTGTGAGACCTTTGAAAATGGTAAGTTTTGATGTTTGCGGGGGGAGGGTTTTTTTAATTATATTTTTACAACTTACTCTGTCACTCCTTTGAATGGAAAGAGAACTCGCTGTCATGCAAACTGGTAGAGAGTGTTAGATCAGCTGGAGTTTGGAAACGGGAAAAGTTACACAGCATGGCTTTTTAACAGCTGGAAATAGTTAAAACCTCCAACTGTCGCACTGCATTGTGTAAGTAATGGCAATTGCTGCAGTTAGAGTTTTATTAAAAATATATTTAAATCAGTAGAAGTAAAGACAAATTTACTCATGATCTTTATCAATCAGCTTCTTTATTCTTGACCTTTTGTCTTATTTTACTTTTAGAAACATATTTAAAGCTCAGTTTAGGAAAAAAAAAAATCTGCCAAGCATCTGGCACACTTCCTGCTGCATTACGGCCCTTGGAGTGGGAGGGAAAGCAATCCTCAATTAATTTGTACATTTGAAAAATGCACACAGGAATAGTGAAACTAATCTAAAAAGCAAACATCTTTTTATTGTAGAATACCCCAAGGATAAAAATTCTTCCTGAAGCTGTAATTCTTGATTTACTGTTACAAATACATCTTTGATTTTACATAGCATTGGTGAGCTTTGGCTCCTACATCACCATTCTAGTGGATTCACTTTTCGATTTTTATTTTAAGGCAATACGCTGGCAAAGCTGAAAGCACCAGCAGAACAGAAGAGCACACACAGTGACAGCCAGCACAGCCCCCCTCCCCAGCTGTCCAGCGCACTGTCTCCATCGACAGTTCCAAGGTACGGTTTAGGTATTAACCCTCTGCCCCAAGCTGGGCTGGACTCCAGGTTCACAGCCTCAGAGGAGGCTGAAGCCTCCATGGAAACAGGGCTGTTTTAGTCAAATGCCTTTCGAGCTCACGGGTTATGTGTCTTTGATGCGTGACAGTCTGTTAGACGCTTGGGCCGTGGAAGCGTTTAACGTACAGGACAGCTTGTGTGTTGTCTCTTCGTTCACCAGATGTTCCCAAAAGAGCCTTTTCCTACGCAGACAGGGTCCCAGCCATGCTCTCGGTTAGGATCTACGTGTTTGCTGCGCCACTTTAAACCGCATGGAGAGGACATCTCTTATCCCAGCCTCTATCTCATCGTTGGCCTCCACAGACCCGACTCCTTGGGGAGACCCTGTCAGAATCAAGTCCCCTTCTTCCAGGGTGAATACTTCGCTGATGTAGCTGATCAGATAAGGGATGGAGAAGATCATGGAGGAGGTCTCCCCCTCCTGCCTCAGCTTTCCGTTCACCTTGAGCCAGATCTTCAGCTTGTGAGGGTCCGGGATCTTCTCCTTGGGCACGAAGTCACTGACCGGGCACGACGAACCGAAGCCCTTGGCCAAGGTCCAGGGCAGACCCTTCTTTTTGCACTCCTCCTGGGTGTCCCTGGCCGTCATGTCCAAGCACAGGGCATAGCCCGCCACATGCTCCATGGCGGCCTCCTGGGACACGGCCTGGGCTCTCTTCCCGATCACCACCCCCAGCTCCACTTCGTGGTGCAGGTTCTTGCAGTAGTAGGGCCGGAGGATGGGTGAGCCTTCCCGCACATAGGCCGAGGAAGGCTTGAGGAAGAAGAGGGGCTCCCGGGGCAGCGTGCTCCCCATCTCCTTGGCATGCTCGGCGTAGTTGCGCCCCACGCAGACGATGTTCCTGCCCCATTCCCAGAAGCGGGACAGTGGTCTGGAGGAGGCCATGGCCGCGGCGGGTCTCCTTCCCTGGGGACGGCGGCCGCCCTTGAGGCGTCCTTGCCGGGCCCGGAGCC